TTTGCCGACCCGGATGGCCGAGATGGTTAAGGCAGCTGTGCTACAGCGATTTCAAACCGAAGGTCCCGCTTCGGTCATGGTTGCATTTGTGTTCTTCCTTTCACCCCTATCATCACCCCAACAAGTCATCTTCCCAGTTACCATACCGTTAAATGCAATGGTGGTCGCTAATGACTCAGAATTTGATGCGACCTTAAATAACACACGCAAAAAATATTTTTTTACAGGTCAGCCTCAAGACTTTACATGTGATGGCTTCAGAAAACAAAACAGTACATACATGTGTTATACTATTTACATTTGAGGATAAACTAATTGAACTATGGCACTTTTTTATTTATTTTTTGTTCTTGTTTTTTTGGTTGGTGATGGTGAAGTGGGTTACAGTGAAAGGGAATTATTATTTTATGACGTCATGGGGTTATGATTTCTTAATTCATGGAAATCGTGATGATGTTTTTCTTGGCAGAATGGCGGTTACATTTGGGGTTGAAAGAAGGCATTGAAAAAAATTGGGGTTTAATTGTTTTAGGAATGATATCAAGAATGGCATGTCAATATCGTGGTGACTTTGTTTATTTCAGACAAAGCAGGTTTCGTTAGAGATTTTACGGAGAAATTTATTTTAAAATATTTGAAGGCGATTGTTATTAGCGTGGGATGCTGCCGACTATATTGGGGAGGCGTAAGTTGAAGTCGAGAACTTAAAAAAATTGAAGGATGAGAATGAAACTTCTTAACTGTCAGGTACCCTCATCACGCATGAGTTACGGAATGAAGGGTCCGGCCAGGAGTCCTCAGGACTGAGGACCCCTCAACAACCCAATGGCGAATTCACGGATCTTCGAGGAAGCGTATGACGACGAAAGGATTAATTAAGAGCATCTTGGCTAAATAAACGTTCATTATACTTTTGATAAACTTTAGTAAGAAACATTCAAAATGTAATCTTTCTCCCTGATTGAGAAATACATGTCCTTTTTTTCATTGACTAGTGTCATCGTTTAATTAACGTGTCATCGTTTATTCGAAACTCGTGATGCTAGGCAACGTTTCTTATCTTATCGTCTTGAGAACAGGAGGGCCTTTTCGCGTGGTGTAGAAACACATTTTGTATTGTAAAGGAAATTTATTTCGTGAAGAATTTATTGGAAATTACTTTCACAATGTAGAAAATGTTTTTGTTTTGAACTCGGAATGCCTTTAAAATACCCGATCTTTATAACATCTGTTGACAGTTTTAGTTTCATTTTTTGTTTTTACTTCTCGAAAATGTTTGGTGGGAAGATTTATTATTCTAGGACAAATAATTAAAATAACTTTAAGAGAAAGGTGAAGAGAGTTATGAATCGTCGAAAAAATCAGATCTTTATTCTCTAAATACGTTTCTAATTTTATAAATCACGGAGGGGTACGTACCTTAAAAATGGCAGAGGCACAGTGGCGTTTAAGTTCCATGTCATCATCCGATAGATGGCGCACCAAGTCTGCTATCATTCCCTCTGTTTGTATGGCCACCTGGTAGCTGAGCTGAACAGAATGAACAAATGTTTCAGACTGTCATGCCTGTTTCTAAAAAAATACAACAATATATCAAAGATACTGAGCTTGTACATTCAAAGAAAACAGGATAGGATGTAACATACGAATAAGCATCATCACAGAGTTATTAACAATTTGATGCTGTAAATACCTCAGATTATATTTCCATTTAATATTAACGTTAACAGAATGGAATATCAATGTCTAAGAAAATGTGTGAGTGAGTGCATGTATTTAGGACGATGCTTTGATTTTAACCTGGTGATGAAATATGTTGAAACCTTTGTCAAGAATACATAGCATAATTGCATGTAACTATCTTAATAATTTTTGGGGGAACTAAAGTAAAAAAATTTACAACGAATAATAATCTTTGTGTGGTGTGATGACAGGAAAGATTATTTTAGAAAATGAATGCCTTTTTTCAACATGCTACACTGACATTACTTTTGAAATGAAATCTATTAATAAAAGTTTGAGTTCGTTACCAGTCTGCTCGAAGAGTCGTATACCTTACAAATTAGTGGGAGTAAGAAAATGTGGAAATACATTTTGAAAACTTTTTATAACTTGAATAATCATACTTAACTAATTTATGCCATGAGAAGTAATCGTTAATTACTATAATATGATTTTTGAGCCCAATTTAATTACTTAATAATTAACAAATCTATTATTATAGATACAAATTAATCACTGATTGGTCTCAAGTCCTATTATTGAGTTAATTTTTAAACAATCGTTCTATAAACGTACATTTGTATGATATTTTACTGTATAATCTTTACTGTGAATATGTGTACGAATAAATGATAACATTGAACACATACGTGACAGTCTTGGCGTTAAATATTAAACAAAATATTTACACGACGTGGAAAACTCTAAAACACATAGATGTCAAAAAATAACCCTCCAAAAGGATTCAATTTGCTCATTTCATAACCTTATTAGTAAGTGCGGGTCAGTTTGTCTACAAAAGTGAAATAGATTAGATAGATTATATGTTTATTTTGGGTCGCATTAACCATTTGGGTTATTAACGACATCATTCTCAATACATTTACAAACACATGTCAAACATATCCTTACTTTACATTATTGGTTTTAATTGAGGCATCACGTTAATTCTAGGTTGACCTCAATTCCTGAGTACAATAACTATAGAAATTTAATCTAAACACTAATTCAGGAATCTTTACATTTGGCTGTACAAGTTGATATCTTTCAGGAATTTAATACAATTTGTTACACAATTCCCTGTCTTTTAGTTCTTCAGCTGGAGAGTTCAGCTTGTATTTTAGTCTGTTGGGCCCATATTCAGATCATGTGAAATTCGTTGCATCTATCGCACATGGCTGCAGCATTGTTCTTGATGTAATGTTGATGGGTGAAGTAAAATAGGATTGTTCTCGAACTGCATCATATCGTTGCAAATGAGCTGATTAGTACACTAATCAAAGTTCGAGGTTCGTGAGTGGCAGGCCTAAATCCCTTCTGCTACCATGCACTGGAATGCATGAAAAGTTTCAACACATTGCACTATATGTCAGCGATATGATTGATCGATCGATAAACATGCTTAAAGAATTTCACATTTTAACAGATATAGATAGTACCATGACAATAGTTTTATTTGTAAGCGACGAGAAAGTGTCACGTCCATTCATGTTTTAAGTTATGACTTGTTATGCTATCATATGTTCTTTAGTATTTTCGTGTAAGACTAGTTTTCGATTTGGAAAAGCCATAATCAATAGTTTGCAAAATATTTACCGACCATAGTATAGTATTTTTTTATTTCTTGTTTAATATTTGTAATATTTCCTTCACAGCCTTTCGGGGTTTTGAAGGATACAAGTGACATATGACAATGAATTTATTCGGACTAATCCCAATGCGAGCCACAGAATATAACATATTTTATGTAATATTATAACCCTAATAGTTTTATAATTTCCTAATTTTCCTTGTCTATTAGAATGCATCCATGATGCTTTAGGAGAGGAAGCAGTATGCGAGATAATATTTTGTTAAATGAAGCTCAACGTTATCTGATTCATTTACAATATGTACTCTTTAATATCTTTTGAGACGTTTTCACGCTACACTAGAATTTCAGAAAACTGATTTTTAACTGTTTACATCGTAAGATGAATGTGGAAACCTTGATTTATACCATAAGCTGAAAAGGTGGAGACAATTGTATATGAAATAACAGGCTCAAGAAACTGTTCGGAGAAATGCTCGTTTCATTATCGTGATGGTTAAGGAAATCTGAAGAGCTGAGTTGAATTTCCAGTCGGGAGACCAGTGCTTTGCTGAATTTGCTGAAGTGGCAATTAGGGCGCCCAAAACTTTGTGTGAGTCGGTTGCTTGGTGGTTCAGGCTTGAGAGCAAGTGGGCGACACGCCTTAAAAATTGGTTTTATTTATGTACTTATTTAACGTGAAAATCAGTTAAAAAGTGTGTGGCGCACAATTGGGAAAAGTGTGCATCGGTTTGGAATCGAGGATAAAGCGCGTGGATTCACCCTGTGTTTATGTTATAGAGGCATTCTTTCAATGATATAGAAAACTGACTAAGATGGGCCCGCCTGTCGATGGAGCGAGGCCATTACCGGCCCCCAACGTTCAGGTTTAGGTAAGCGTTTCGGCACTGCAAAGCCAGGAGGTGTTGGATTGATTAATTGATTTTGTTTCGTAGCGCGTTAAGTACGTTGTGACCATAACAAACCAATTCGGTGAAACAGTGTTTTATCCATGTTCATCAGAACAGCCGACCGCTACAATTCTATTGTACTCCAGACAGTGGTTAAATTCAGCCTAGCAATGTACACTATGTGTTCAAAAGTATCCGGACACGTCCAAAATGGTATTATGGCGTGGTCGTGTTTTTCAGGCCGGGGGCTTACACTCTTTGTTGATTTGTGTAGCACTATCACGGCAGAGGCCTACGTTGCTGTTTTAAACACCTTGCTTCCCACTGTTGAAGAGTAATTCGGGGATGGCGATTGCATCTTTCAACACGACCGAGCACCTGTTCATACTGCACGGCCTGTGGCGGAGTGGTTACACGACTATAACATCCCTGTAATGGACTGGCCTGCACAGAGTCTTGACTTGAATCCTATCAAACACCTTTGGGATGTTTTGAAACTCCGACTTCAAGCCAGGCCTCATCGACCGCCATCGATACCTCTCCTCAGTGCAGCACTCCGTGAAGAATGGTCCGCCATTCTCCAAGAAACCTTCCAGCACCTGATTGACAGTATGCCTGCGAGAGTGGAAGCTGTCATCAAGGCTAAGGGTGGGCCAACGCCCTATTGAATTCCAGCGTTACAGATGGAGGATGCCTCGAACTGGTAAGTTATTTTCAGCCACGTGTCCGGATATTTTTGATCACATAGTGTATAGTGCTAGAGTAGAAAATCAGCCACCGTGTGGACTCGAACCCTAGCTCCTCCGTGTGAAAGATTGTTTGGTATTTCCAGACACGTCAACTGCTAATGCCATTAGTCCCGAACGTGTAGTGCGTGGTTTTTTATCGCTGGAAGTGACGGAGATCTTCCCCATTAAATGGCGAGATACGGCGCCGACCTAGACGTCGGCTTGCGGGGTTTTTCCTCAACCAAGTTTCACTACCTACGAGGCCCTGCCCAGTTGGGAAAAGCTGTAAGCTCCCGTCAGGTCTCCCGACGTATGTGGAAGTGTAGCCCATTTGAATGTGTGGTGATTGTAAGAGAAGAGGGGGCGATAATGATGAGGGAAATAATATGTACGATCCGTGGCCATTCATTAGGGTACATCTCCCACATTTACCTGGTGTTGATGGGAGAAACCGCGGAAAACTACAGCAGCTGGTCGCTCGAATTCTCGTCCAGAAGCGACTGAATTCCACCTAGCTGTCAAGCTAGTGTCGAAAATCCTGCCCCTGTCGTGACTCGAAACTAGGACTCGACGACCTCCCGGCACTGCAGTGACATCAGTAGATGCCACCTTTGCCGGTAGGCTGAATTCAACCCAGCTACGTAGCCAGTATGGAAATCCGCCACAGTCTCGATCCGTAGGGTGTAGCAACGGGAGAGGGCGTGGGGATAGGGGTGGGTC